AGAGAGAGAGAGAGAGAGAGAGAGAGAGAGAGAGGGAGAGAAGGTGTCTACATACAGTATGGCAGCTGCAGGATTATTACTTCTTGCAGAGTTTGTGCAGTGTGCACGCATGGTTCACGCAAGTGGCACGCACAAGGCACGAACATTGATGCATGCTGAAATTTTGAACATTTCAAAATTCTCTCTATGACATGGCACGCACCCCCACAACCTTCATCCTCACGCTCGTTCCCGAAGAATTTAATCATTGGCACACCAAAGTATACGCCACTGTGGGAATGAAAATCGTGCAAGTGTCAAGTTGGCATTACTCTTGCAAACACAAGACACCATAATCCAATCACTTCACCATGAAATTTTGACAGGCATTGAATTTAGGTTGTGGATTAAAAAGGTAATACTGAACAGGTTATTTAGAAATTAGAATTCTCAAGAAATGCAAACGATACCTTTCCATTCTAGCGCTGTAGATCCTGTTGTAAGACCAAACTCTTCCCTGAAATGACTGTTACCCATTGTACATTGGAAGATCCAAATCAAGTTATCAAGACTGACCAGAAGTGTAACCTAGAGAAAATAATTCAAATAACTTTAAAACAAATAAAATCGGATACATTGTGAAGCTGATAAATCATAGGTGTAGGATGGTTTTACCCTGTAAGGGGGTAGAATGCAAAACTGGGTATGAAAATTTAGGTGAACATATGCATGGGTACCAGTTATACTGTAAAGTATTTTAATTATGCGGATGATACCTTAAAAACAGTATTAAACTAACTCAAATTTGCTCGGAAAATAGCTATGCAGAATCGTAATTAAACTACTGCACAATATATTGGTTATACAGGTATAAGATTAGGTCAAAGCCTAATTTTTGGCAAAATCTGATTGGAAATTGGCCATTATTTTACGAAATGTTTGGACAGATTTCTACAGTAGGCCTAATTTTGAGCCAGAGGATATATTCCCTGCGCAGGCCTTAATGGGCAGGTACGAGTTAGCCTGTATACGTATTAGGTGCAGTTGGACTTTATTAGGCCAAATATAGGCTGACTCGTACACACAACACGTACACAAATTTTGGATAATTCGTACACAAATTTTGGCTAACTCGTACACAGAATTTTGGAGAGCCTGTACACACAATTGGCTAGCCCGTACAAATTTTGTGTAATATTGACTTTTGTATTTCAAACTTTTATGCAAAATGTATTGTATTTTGACAATACAGTACTATAAATAGTTACACTGATCTATATTATTAAAACCTACTTATGATTATTAGAACATGTGGTCCATAAATGTTAAATAGATTTTACTGAAGCTGATCACCTTTCCATTGAGAGGGCGTTATAAAAATTATTAGTGCGTTTTTCTCTAGAGATATGTTTCAGACCTGATTGCAGACTTACAGTAGTATTGATTTTGTCTTTTTAACAATACTTGACTATACATAATACTCCCATAAATACTTTTTGTATTTTTTCAGTAAGAGTGTAATGAGTATTTTTAAAGTATTTTACGATTGGGCCAAATAAAAAAAAAACTATTGCGTTGGCCATGCCCGACCGCCCCAAAATGTAAGAAATTGAGGTTCGGCAATTTGTTTTTTTTTTTTTTACAACAAAAAATTTTAAATATAATTTTAGCATGTTTTTAGTACAGTATGTAGGCTGGTGTTAGATATTGAAAATGTTCTTCTCCTTGCAGTTCCCAGAAGTAAACAGCCAAGTGTACCGAACTTAGTTATATACTATCAGTGGACTGGCGTGGTTGTGATGGCCTCAAATTGTAAGTCCACACGCAATCCATCACAACAAGGGGTCGCGTAACTTTGCCGAAGTGCGCCAGCTTAAACCAACTTTGTGCCTGCTTGGGTTTGGTGAGGCAAACCTGTTACCTTTGTTAAGGGAGCTTTAGGCTATGTTCACACACACGGCGTAAGGCTGGCTTAAGCCTGGCGTAGCGTACGCCTTTGTGTGTGAACTAGGCAGTGGCGTTGTTAAAGCCACTCACTACGCCACGTCCTTGGCGTTATTAACG